CTGAAAAAAACCCACTATTTTTACAGTAATCCCATGTATCATCCGGAGCCGCTTCTGAAGGCCGCACCTGGCAGCTGCAAATATTCCGTATTCTTAAAACTTTGATAATTCGCTACTAAAGTTGTACCTTACTTTAATAATATTAAAAAATTATTCTGCAGAGTTATAGGAGGCAGTCTTTACTCTAGCCCTTTCTAGTTCTTATACTTAGTGATCCCTGAGCTCCTAGAACTGTCTCTGTCATGTACTCGGTAAAGTTTTCGTTAGGTCAATTTGCTCTTTATTGAAGTTATGTGCTGCAGTTCTCCAGAAGCACGGAAAATTTTGAAGAAACCCTTGATCTAACAGTTACCCCAGTAATGCAGTTAGTTCTTAGACTCCTTTCCAACACCAAAGTGTATACTGGTTACACAGTTTTGACAGAATAAAACATAAGAACTAGAAAGGGCTAGAGTAAAAACTGCGTCTTATAACTCTGCAGAACAATAATTTGTTAATATTATTAGAGTAAAGTATAACTTTGGTGGGGAATTCTCAAAGTTTAAAGCATATGGGATATTTGTAGCTGCCGGCTGCGGCCTTCAGAAGCGGCTCCGGATGATTTCGCCACTGTAAAATACATAGGATAACTGTAAAAATAGTGGGTTCTTTCAGTTTCGCATTCCTTCCCGGCTCATAGCTCTCGACATCACAAAATTGCCATCTCCAAATTTTGCTATGTTGTAGAGAAAGAAATTCTACACAAAATATTTTTTGAAAAATTTAAAATTTCACGCTTTTTTTCTATGTTTTCTTAAAAATTTGTTTTCATTGTATCTTTGTGCGTTTTCATCGGAATTAAATTATTCAACATTCTTTTAAAAGTTCAGGACATGAAAAATACGCCGGTTCAAAAATTTTAAGTTCCACTGAGAACAGGCTAAATTACAAGTCTCCAAAGATAGGCGTGTAAAGCGGCAACCTAGCAAATTTTGCAACTTTTGGGGGTGTAACTTGGCGGAAAATTTGGTTTTCTAGGTTTTCTTCGCGGCTTTCCTTGCGATGACCTAGACTCTATTAATCGGCAAAAAATGAAAGAAATTTGAAAGGCCGATGTTCAAAGGTGTGCGATTTGGCATGGAATAGCGCATTATATATAGGTCTGTTTCCTGCAGATTCAGAAAAATGGTGAAACTTTTACATAAGCAAATTTTATATCAAAGTAAAGTAGAAAAAAGAATCAAAATAAAAACAAAATACAAAACGCTCTTTCTTAAAAAAAAAAATGGCATTTTTAATTTCTTAAAAAAGGCGTATTTTGGAGAACATAATTTTCGCACAATATAAAAATTGCAAGGTGGTATCTTTTCAGCATCAGGAGTTACGGTAAAATTTGTGACTGCGGACTGGAAAAAACCCCCAACTGAAGTAGATGACGTCAATTTTGCAAATGGAGACAGGTTTTCAGATGAAGTATATGAAAAATCCGTTGCGATTAAAGAAAACTACAAGTTCTTAAAGTGGCCATGCCGAGAGTAACCCGCGTTTTTTTTTCGCACTTAAGAACGGTCTAACTTTAGTGCCAGCGCACTTTCTGAGGCAAACTCTTTCGATTTCAAAATTTAGTAGCACATGCTACAAATAGGCAAAAAAGAAGGAAATGAGAAAAAACATGAAGAGGAATTTCCATTTTTTAGATTTTTTAAAATTTTACTGATTAGTAGAGTCCAGACCAGTATATAAAAACCAGAACAAAAAACTAGAAAAGTGGATTCCCTGGCAAGTTACACCACCTCAAAGTTGCAAAATTTGCTTGCCGCTTGACATGCCAATAATTTAATCTGTCCTTAATAGAATTCAGCGATTTTTAGTTCCTTAAATTTGACATGTCCTGTACTTTTATCTGCATATAAAGCATTTTAATTCCGCTAAAAAATTTCTCAAATGCAGTAAAAAAAAAGATTTCAAACAAACATTAAAGGAAAGAACGCAGTTTTAAATTTACTTTGAAAAGACACTTTGCAAAGACATGTTTGCTCCAGAAAATATTAAGATTTGGTAAACGCGTTTTTTTGGTAGCCGGAGTTATAAACCAGAAGGGGATGTGGAACTGAAAAAAGTAGCGGCTATATAAATCCGGTACGCTTCAAATGTAGAAAATTGGTTACAAAAATTGTACTTTACTTTCAAAATGTTAGCAAAGTTGTAGAGTTGTAAGAAGTTGCCTTTATTCCACTGCTTTCTTTTCTTATTTGCCGTAGTCTCCGAGACCTTAGAACTGTGCCCATAGTGAGCTCGTTAAAGTTCTAGTTGCACAAGAGAACATAAACTGGACCTGCTACTCTTTCTTTAAATTACCTGTAGTTCTCCAGAAACAAAGAAAGTTCAAGAAGAACCTTAATCCAGCAACTAACCACGTAAAGCAGTATGTTCTTAGACTTCTTTGTGAAAATGTATAGTAGCTGTATAATTTCGACAGGACAAAACACGGAGAGCAGAAAGCACTGGAATGAACAATACTTCTTACGTCTTTGCAGAGTAATGATTTTTTTATATCACTGAAGTATATCTTTGCTACGAATTTTCAACGTTCAAAACATACCGGATTTTCAAAGCCACTGTCTGTGGCTAGCAGAAATGGTTCGAGACGCTTTTGCTACCGTAAAATACATAGAATTGTTGTGAAAATAATGGATTTTATTCAGTTTCACATTCTTTTTAGGTTCGTGACTCTCAATATCAAAGCACACCATCAGCAAATCTTGATATTTTGTGGAGCAAAAAATTCTACACAAAATATGCCCTTCATAAAAGATTTAAAGACAGAATTATTTAATATTCGCCTAAAATCCTGTTTATACTAGGGGGAGGGGTTATTACTTGGAGGTGGAATTCACTTTTCCAATTTTTTTTTTTTTTCTTTTGCTTTCTGCGTACTGGCCTAGACCCAACTAAACAGCAAAATTTAAAGAAATTCTGAAATATAAAGAAAAAAAACTGTGCCACCTGACGTGAAATAGCTCATATATGTACCAAAAACGTTTAAACACAAGATACTATCAAATCATAAAGGAATTATACAATGCATGAGAATAAAATAAAAGTATAGAGGAATGAACCTAATAAATATATTATAGTAACGATTATTCATACCTGAATCTGGTTTTCTCGTTGCTGAAACTCCCCTGAAGTCGTGATTCATTGCTGTCTTTAATGTCTGTAAGGAACTCATGTATAACGGCAGGAAACTCGTTAAACTCGGAATCAAGATTTTGCTCTCTTCTCATGCGATCGTAGTCACTCTTCCTAACACAACGATAATAAAAAAATAAGGGATCATCTTCGCGAGATAATGAAACGTATAGCTCCTTAAAAAACGCTAAATTACATTACCTGTTAGCCAAATTTAAACTTTAAAATTTCTCGATAGGAAAAAATGTGAAGAAAATCGAGCACAGTCAGTTGAGTGGTTGGAGGGACAATCAAGAAGGAAACATACTTCCCCCTCGCTCCTTTTCCGCGCTTCTATCTTCAAAATCAATAGTTGGCCCTCTGTCCTGAATAACATATATGTGTAAAACTGAACATAGCTTTGAAAAACAGTGTTCTTCTACATACTTTAATTAATGTTAGAGAGTTAAGCGCAAAATGCCAATTTCAATAACTACCTTATTCCTGAAAGTCACTTAAAAACGTTTTTGCTTTAATGATCGCTGTTTGAACTTTGACTCGCAAAATCCCTTCTCGTTTTTCTTCTTCATATCATTTAAGTTTAGAAGAAGCACCCTCAAGCCTTTAAAATTTATAGCCTTAAAGTCCGGTAGGTTTTTATTTAAAAAAAAAAAAACAACCCAGATAAAAGTAATGCAACTATGAGGTACAATGGCGCGTTAGAGGGCAATTCATCAAGCAAGAGGGCTACATACAAGCAGTAAAGGAAGGATTAGAGCAGAAAAGAAATCGTTGAAAAAGAAATTTGTAGAGGGTTTTTAAATTAGATAAATAAGAGTTCAAAGCATTAATTGAGATAAGCCCACACAAAATATCAAAGTGAAGGTTAAAATTTTTCGTAAGTCGGTTATAAACCGCATTTATCGGAGAAAAAAGCCGGAAGAAACTGGAAAAATTCTTATACACTAAAAAAAGTGGAACCGGATACGACAACGCTTTGCAAGCTCTACTAGATAAAGAAAAAATATTTTCCTAAACAAGCCTGTGACTATCAAAAAAAAAAAAAACAGACTTTGCATAATGATTGAAAAAGTTCTGACCCAATGGGTGTCAAAAGTGAGAAACCGCGCTAAATAACGCAGCTGCTTTGGTTACTTTTAGTGTTCATCAACCTATTAGATGTTTACTGTTAACTAGTTTTTGAAAGAAGTAATTAGATAGAGTTCTCTGAATTAGATGGGATTAGAAATGTTGGAAAATACTGAAGCCTACAGGATTGTAAAGCTTGTCTAAATATTCCTGGCCAAGGCTAGTAAGCTGGGTGGGTTCAATAACGATGGAGGGTGTCCTTAAATCATACAATCTGAAACCCGTAGCTAAAACTCTACAAGACTTGAAGTATAAGACCAAAATGTTTCACCTTAGTCACCGAGTTTGCCTCTCAAACTCTTATCTTTTAAAGCATTTGGAGCTTTTCCCAAGCCAGAAAACGTGTTATGGATCGAAAACAAAAGCGGTTTTAAGGTTTATCATCATCATCTCTAGGAACTCATTCTATGTAATTCTGCCTTTCTGAATCCTGGCTCTAATTGACGGAGATTTACTAGTCCCGACGTTCGTATTGGTCATTCAAATCACTTATGAACAGAATTATGTCCAATTGAAATGTCGGCCACGCCAATAACATTATGGATTTCCCAACCTAACAGTCGATAAATACCCTAATAGCTAATATCTTGCAGGTAACTTTCAAGAGCTTAATGAGAAGTGAGCCAAAAGCACACTGAAAAATAAGCAGAAAATGCCCTACTACGATTATAAAAATTCTTTCAATTAAACAACCAACCATGTCTGTACCGACTGCAATGATGACGATGAGCAGTCTTGTAACACATCGACCCGAATATGTTCATGAAGAACGATCTTAGACATCTAAAACAGAGCATTTAGAATATTCCGCAATAAATTTGAGTAATGTGAATACTGATTCAAGATCATCGCTTTTTATTTTGACTTATAAAGGTGGAAGACTGCGAGGAACCGTCTGCCGTCCCCGCCTTTCCAAAGAAGTGAAAGATAATTTAGGACTCAGTACAGTGCAAAGAAAAGAGCTAAAACAACGAAAGTAAAGAGACCTTATAATCCAAAAAAGTAACAAGAAGCACTAATAATAATAATTATAATAATTATGATTATAAGAATAATTTTAATATTAGCATTAGTAATAAATAACAAATAATAGCGATAGTAATTATAAAAAACAAAAACAGTGCTCCAGCCTGATAAAAGAAAGCTTTCTCAAGAAACCTAACTTCACCACTATTCTAAGCAAGCTTTACTAACATACAGATTTTAAGATTTATATTACTTCTGGATTTACATCCATGGAACTCATTCAAACGTACTTTACCGTTGGGCTAAATCTGTGTTACATGGGTATTGCTAAAAGGCATACGAGGCAAATGAGCAATGTAAGAAATAACTCCTCAAGTTAAACCAAAGCTTCACAAAAACGTGAAAAAACAAAAAAGTTGGCGTCAAAGGTCTGCGCCCAACAGTTACGGAGACGATAAGCTGATCTCAACTAGAAGTTACTTACTTTAACCAACAAGTTAGATACCCTGCTTCCAAAACCATGCATATTACATATTATGCAAAATGTCACGGTTTCATTTTTACCTTTCTATAAACCCTCAACTGTTAAAAACTATCACGGCTCAAAAAAAAGTGCGATACGTCGCTTAACGAAAACTTTTGTCGATTGGACTCCAAGTTATATTCCAAACGTAAGTACAATGAAGATAAAACTGATCTTTTGCAATTCTCATTGGCATAGCAATGTACTACAAATGCATCTTATAGCTTTGCGCTACACATATTTAGCATATCTTTTCCAAAAACTGTGCTCCTGGTAACATAGTTAGCTTTTCCTACAGTAAACAGTTATTTGGGCTAGCCCTCCATCTGACTATCAAACCGGAAAAAACCCAACTATCGACTGAAGGCTTTTATTATTTCATCCAGAATAATTCTGAAGATACATACAAAATCCAGACTACTACAGTACTTACGCTATTTAGCTGTGAAGCCAAGTTTACAACAAACTGATGTAAAAGAGTTGGCAGTAGAAAATACCTAAAAGCAGTATTATTACAGCTTGCCAGATAGTGTAACCTTATTCTTTAGTGGAAGACAATGGACTCTTGCGCTTTCATTAACACTACATGATTTGCATGCTCAGACTGAGTATTTTGCAAGGCACTCTGGTGAAACTGACAAAGCGAAGTAAATTGCCTACTGATAAAGTACTGTCAAGTACAGATTTTTCTATGAAACATACTTTTGCTTTTATTTCATCCCTTCAAAAAATCATTGCTGGTAGAGAATATAAATTATACAATTCAAAGGCAGTATAATAAGTGAAATGATTCTAAGTTATGAATTTTTACACACTCGAGTACTATAATAAAGTTTTACGCATAAATTTTCTGCAGTGCCAAACTTTCATTAACCATAATTATGATGATATCTAAAATGTTAATGAGCAACTCCCAACTGAGCAAAGAGATAGCATAGCTAAAAAAAAACTTGTGTCACAATTCAGAAATAAAAAATTCATCCGCAACTCCGAAAGACTCGCAAGTGAAAGTTTGCATATTCAGCAACGAAGTTATGGACAATCAACAAAAATACGTATTTAAATGCAGTATTTTCCCGCATTTTTTCAACTTTCGACTTTTAAGCTCGGCCAACAGTCAAAAACTGCAGCACAATTCCATT